ACGTTCGGCACCACCGAAGCTATAATAAATTTCACAGTGGCATCTTGATTTTGATCGCTCAGTTGAAACAGCAGCTATATACTAAAGTTGGTCGAACCACTCGGAGATTGTAGCGTTGCTTTAGAAAATAATCCATGCCAAATTTCGTGAAGTTAGCTTGTCAAATAATAAAAGTTTTCTATACAAGAACTTGAGATGGATGGGTCAGTTTGTATGGCAGGCATATGCTATAGTATTTCGATATCGGCAGTTTCGACAAATGAGCAGCTTTTTGTTGCAAAAATTACGTGTGCAAAATTTCAGGCAGATATCTCAAAAACTGGGGGACAAGTTCGGGTATATACAGACGGAGTTGGCTAAACTCAGCCTTTAACGGTGATCATTTAAAAATCAGTTTAAAAATAAAATTTATAATAAATTTTTTAAAAAACTATTGGAAGGCTGCCACCTATTTGAAGTTTATAAAATTACAAAAATTGAAAAATAGTAGAGAGAGACGATTTGAGAAAGATTATGGACAAAAAAATTCTGGTTGGAGTTGCCACATATTAAAAATTTCAATAAAATTGACAAAAAGATGAAATATTGCAATAAGAGCTTTAAACTAAACATATATGTACATATGTATACAGTACATACATTTAGTAAATATTTCTGCCCAAGGTTCAACAGTATGGCCGCCACATGTTGAAAATTTTATTTCAGAGGTGCATAAGTTAAAGAAATGCAGCATTTAATCATACGACTGAAGAGGTTTAAAATACAGCTGAATAAAAATTGTTTTTTGAAGAAACTATACAGTCGGTTAAACGATTTTTGGTAAATATGGAAGTGTTCAAGTTAAAAGATTCATAAAAATATGGAATACTACAACAACGACACCAAACTGGAGCAATTCTTCAAAGATTACAGTTGAAATTATTTTTTCAGTGGGTTTGCAACTCTATCAAATATATTTTCGAAAGAAAAATCAAATGCTGGAAATTTTTATGTCAGCATATTTATTAAATAGGGAAATGCTTCAATAAATGTGTAAAACGTAAGATATTTGAATATATTTTTTAATGAGAGCTGCCAGTCTGTCGAAGATGTTTTTGTACAGAAAAGCAAGCGAAAAGAAAGTTTTAAGTCAGAACATTCGTAGGATAAGAAATTACGAGAGGTACAGATATAAAAGTGCAGTAGCTTAAAATAGCTTGGTAGAAGAAATTTTTCGGTAGGGTTGCCGTCTTCTTTTTAAATTTTTAATTAAAAAATAATAATGAAATCAAACTTGGCAGGTTTAATAAATTTCTTAGTTGGATTTATTTTTCAGAAGAGTTGCCACGTTTTTGAAAAACAAAATTTAAAAAAAGTGTTAAAACAAATGTTTAGTACAGTATTTGATATTAAATTAAGAATATTTGAGACATTCTAATTGGATGTATTTTTATGTATGTAGATGTTTTAAATGAATTTCTTCTTGAATATTAACCGCTTTCTTTTTGAACATGTGATGTAGTCCACCTTATAATAATTCAAAAGTTCATCACTAATGATGATTTCATAGGTTTAAGCACTATTTCAAAAGTAAAATTTTTGCACTATAGTGGTAATATTTGGATTATACATAGCTTATCAATTAAGTGATATATAAAAATATTCTTAGTTGCATGAGTTTTTTTGTTTTTTTACATTTTCTATCGAAATTCGCTTAAGATTGTTAAAATTTTTTTTGAAAAATATTTGAACCACGGTGGAATTGTATGGAAAATTCATATCTACCATAAATTTATCAATCAATTGACAACTCTACCGTCAGTTTACTGCATTCTCAATTTTGAGAAAGATTAACGCATTTTCGTTCTTCTCCAAGTTTCCAGTCACTGTCTATCCCATTTTGATGAATAAATCATATTATATCACACATACATATGCATATATAAGCCAGCACTCATATGAACTCATTAAGGTCTTGGGGCCGAGTAAAATTATATTTCCCACTTCCTAACATGCAAATTTGCTCTGTTATCTATTGGTGGTGTGTCTGTCATTATTTGTTTCCTTTTTTAATATGCTGCGCCCTTATTTTATCGTTCACTTGTTGTGACAGACGCCCATCCGAGATGCCTACACGGGTATGAGTATGAGTGAAAGTGGTAAAAGTGGTGATAAAAATGGTATTATTTTGCCAAGTAATTTTCAAGCAAAACGCCGTAATCGCTCATACCTGCGCATACACACATACATACATACTTGTATGTATATATGCGCCGTTAGACTGCCTTTAGCACACCCTTTAATAGGCGTCACAAAATGCCGCAGTAAAAAGCCACACATCATTCGACTTGTTGGTTATGGTGTGCCATAAAAACAGTTTGCTGCTATCACGGCAATTGGCTCAGAGGGAAGGAGTGGAGAGCGAGTAAAGCAGAGCAGACAATGGAATTGAACGCATGAACGAATGCACAAAAGCAGCGAGCTGCCAAGAAGAATTTCAGCAGTAAGCGCTGAGCAGATAGGCAGTTGACTGACTGCTTGGCATGTCGAAGGAAAACCAACAGGAAAAGCGGTGGGTTGGCTGTGAGAAATAGAGGAGGTAAGGTCGTCATTTTAAAATGTAAACTGATATGAGGAAAATTTCTTCCTTCCGGTAAACGGTCCCATAAATTTACATGATGGGCATGTCTCACACGTTTTACATAAATATATTTATGTGCGTGTGTGTGTTTGTGTACGTATCCTTTACACAACTTTTTATGCGGCAAAATTTTAACCTACAAATGGCTGCCAAATGCTCGATGTATGCACGTCCAACAAGTTGGTTATGGCAAAAGTATGATAATGACGGTTTTATTTTTTGCGGTTAGGCCGCAGGGCATGGTCGCAAACACACACACATGACTGGAGAAAAAATGTTTCTTTTGTTAAGAAAACTCTCTCGGTCCTTTTTTGCATATCGCTCCATTATGCAGGCAAACAACGCTCCTGGGTGTTTCTCTCGTATTTACATAATAAAAAGAAAAGTTAAAAGATATTCGCATAAAGGCGTGCAAAAATGATTGAGCTGGGAGAGCATTACATGGCAGCTGCATACATAGTAACTACAACGACCTTTCAGAAAACTTACTATCGACGCATATGTGCGCTAGGTAGCACCGAAATGGTTTAAGGCGCAGCGTAGGCTGCCACACGCAAGCCAAGTGCGGAAAGATGCCATCAGTTTAAAATATCCATTTACGCACATACTTACGCATAAAAGATTAATATTTGTACAGCGCTTAAGGGTCGCTTGCTTGGTTGTCACTAAAGGCCTCAGCGACCGACCGGAAGAGCGTGGCACTGTTGTACAATTTTAGCATGACCTTTGACCTTTTTTGGATCTCTTTACATCTTTCTTTAAGCAATAGTCTGATGTGAAGCACGAACAACAAGCGTGTGGGCTAAACGAAAGGAAAACAAAAGAAAGTGCAACAAACTTCAATTAAAAATACGCCGACGTCGTTTTGTAAGTTCATTTCTCCCTCGCTTGTGGCCGGATATTGCAACGAGCTGGTATGTTCTTACAAGAGAATATTTTTAGATAACAAATACTTTAATTTTAAATTAATCATTATAGTGTGACTTATACAAAGTTTATGACGAAGTCAAAGCTTTAAATATAAGTTCATATAAAAGAGTTAGCAGCTGTGCTTAATTACAATATGTAACAATATTGTTAAAAAAGTCAAAAGGAGGAGAAATTACATATATAAGCAATAACACAGTTATTGAGTTGAATTCGTGCAAACGAGTAAGCGGATACCTCTTTAAAGTGGTATTGTCGTTACCTACAAAGCTACAAAGTTTTGCTTTGCTTATTTTAGTTCAGTTTTACTATTGTGAATGGTTCAAATGACAAATGAAAATAAAAATTAATTTTTTTCTTGCATTTATAAAACTTATGACTTAAATCAGCAAAAGATTACAGCATCATTTTTTAAAGCGAAAAAAAAGAATTTCAGCACTAAGAAAAAAGCATAACACTATTGCGCAATGCGCATGCGTTAGAAGACATGTTGGCTCAGGAGTGCACCACAAGTGCTGCCCGTTTATTTGAGCATCTGGTATATAGCTTGTTCGATTTGTTACTCTCGAATCGAAGACAGCTATACATGCTTTAATTATTATTCTTCGTATCCGGCCTTACTCAAATGATTGCAAACGGCTTTTTGTGCAATGTTTAGGTCCTGGACAATCGTAATCGATGTTTGAACTCGGCGATTTCCATTATTTGAATGATTTTTTCGATAATTGGTCTTCCAGAGCGTGGTGCATCTTTGACATCAAAATTACCGGAACGAAATCGACGAAACCAAAATTGCATATGATTGGCTGTTACAGTATCAGGACCATAAACCGGCTTGCGTTTTCGCTCTTATCGAAGAAAAACTTTAAAATATAGCTATTTTCTCTTTGTTAGTGTCCATCTTTGACGCGCGCTTAAACAAAACTGAATAAACCAATCACAAAACCATTAGAAAAGCTTTTTTAGTACAAAATGTTATCTTTCTAATGCCATGCAGCCGAACCCCAACGGACTTATACAACGCGAGATACAATTAGAAATCTGCAAAATATAATACCGATATAAAATTAAAACTTTCTAAAAAAGGTATTATTGAAATCATCATTGCCAACTGATTTGTAAAATTATAGAATAATATCCATACGAAAGTCTTCAAAGCCCTACGTTTATACATATGTATTCCGAAACCTGTTTGCAAGGCATTTAGTTAAAAAAAAATTCGAATATGACTAACATAGTTTCATAGTTGGTGAATTTGCTATTTCCAAACATTTAATTTGTACTAAAGTATTGTTTACCGAAAATTTTACTATATACCAAAAAGCTTCTCTACATTTATAAATAAAATATTCTCAAAATTAGTCTTAAAAACCGTAGACAACAAAAAATTGTGTATTAAAGATGACTAAAAAGGTATACCACTAACCGTCTTCTCTTCGTCTTCTCATTGCAGTTGTAAACAAGGCTTACTCTTCGAATGAAGTTTCAAAATAAACAAAATACATGTCGAAGCACTTGACATAGCCCAGAAACAACGCACAACAACAGAACGTATGTTCAAAACAACAGAATTCTCGCTATAAAAACATAACCACGAGGTCAACTAACTAATAACGGTAACAAACTATATAAAGCTAAAAGAACAAATTCGAAAATGGCAACGACGCATTCACAAAACCGGCGAAGTACCGTAACAGCTCCTTACCAACAGCGAGTGTACATGAAAAGTAGATCTCTTGCGCACACAACACACTGCACACTTCTGAGCTGTCTCTGCGTGCTCACGCTACTAGTGGCGTCGACGAATGCATTGGCGAATTGCCCAAGCAGTTGTCAGTGCGACGATGACACTTTGGTGGTGAAGTGCGGCGAAGGCACGCTAGATGTGCTGCCCATCACACTGAATCCTTTCATACAGCGCTTGGTCATACAAACTAATAACATCAAGACCATCGACTCATCGCTGCAATTTTATGCGGAGCTTTTGTTCCTGGACCTCTCCTACAATGACTTGGTCACACTGCCGATGCGTACATTTCAGTTCCAACGCAAGCTGCAAGAGCTGCATTTGAATCATAATAAAATCGGCCAAATTAGTAATATGACCTTTGTGGGCTTGGCCGCATTGACGGTGCTCAATTTGCGTGGCAATCTGCTGGCCGAGCTCGAACAAGGGACCTTTGCGAAAATGTCAAAACTGGCGGAATTGAATTTGGGCCAAAATCGTATCAATCGCATTGATCCGCATGCATTTGATGGTTTGGTGAATCTACGTACACTCTATCTGGATGACAATACATTGACTACAGTGCCGGCGCCTAGCATATTCCAAGCCATGCCCAATTTAGCTGAGCTTTATTTGGGCACTAACTCATTTACGTCCATACAAGCGCAAGCTTTTATTGATCTCAAAGGATTGACACGCTTGGATTTACGCGGAGCTGGCTTACACAATATCTCCGCCGAAGCATTGAAGGGCTTAGAAGGATTGCGGTACTTAGATCTAGCCGATAACCGGTTACCGGTGGTACCGACAACTGCGCTAAGTCACTTGGAAAGACTAGAGGAACTACTGTTGGGGCAGAATGATTTCGAGGTGATTGGCAATGGCGCTTTTGGTGGACTAACGCAGTTACGAAAGCTGGAAATTACAGGCGCACAGCGCTTGCGTAGTGTGCAAAATGGCGCTTTTAGCGCCAACACCAATCTGGAACATTTAAATCTTTCATCCAACAAAATGTTGCAGGAAGTGCAGGAGAACGCTCTGGGAGGACTGCCACACCTGCATCATGTCATACTTAAAGAAAATGATCTGCATACGCTTGCCGAGGGACTCGTACCATGGACCGATCTACAAACACTCGATCTCTCTGACAATCCGATAGTTTGCGATTGTCAAGTGTTGTGGCTGCGAAATTTGCTTGTCTCTAAGAACTCCACCACTGACAAGCTCATCGACGTGATGTGCGTTTATCCCGAGCCTATGCGTAAAGAGCCACTGGCGCAGCTTTCCCCAGCTATGCTCGGCTGCTCGCATAGTGACACAAAACAACAGGCGATGATCATAGTGGTTGTTGTTGTTACAACAGCTACCATAACCGGCTTGTTGTTGCTGATTTATGGCTGTCGCCGACGCATACGGGAGACGCTCAAAGGCGGTTGGGGCAATTCAGCGTTGGGTCGCAAAGAGCGCGAGTACCAGAAGACTTGCTCGGACGAAGAGTACATGACGCGGCAGCAACACCCTTGCAGCCTCAGCATACAACCAACAATGCAATTCACCAACAGTGTCGGTTACAATATGCAACAGACGCAACCGTATATGGGCTCCCGGCCCATACCAGTCACCGAACTATAGCTAGAAGCACCACCCCCACCTCCACATCGAGGTTGGGGTACCTCGACGGCGACGGTGAATGCCAATAATGCAACAACAACAACAACGACTGCCACAAACACCCTACAACAATTGCAAGTACCGAATGGTGTACATGCTAATGGCACACTGCCCGCCGAATTGCAGTCGCCTTTCGTACAACTCAGCCAGATACACATGATGACGAACAACAACACAACCAGCAACAGCAATACCGTTAATAAAATCCCCAACGGTAAACCGCCGCCACCACCGCCACATGCACATGCACTGTCTTCGTTGCCACGCTTCGGCAGCGCACGTCGTGAGCCGAAGTCTCACGAACGCGCTGAAAGTTCGCTCTCCCACGAGCCACCCTACAGCCAGCATCTTACCAATCAAAACGGACAACGCACGACCACAGCCGATCGTTACTTACGCCTCACGCAAGACCATTTCAATCACAATCACGGCCCCTACGGCAGCATTGGTAGCAACAAACACGCTAACACGTTGAGTGGCGAGCGCTCACCGCGTGAGAGTGAGTGTAATTACATACACAACAATTCGCATTACTCGCTGCCCTTGGATCATGCATTGAGTGCCGTTACACCTACACCGACGCCACCGCCTCCAGCGTTGCCCGTGCGCAATGGGCAGCTAATGCCGCTTAGCAGCAACAACACAGGCGTGCAGCGTATGCCCGCTTACAATAACAACAATTGTAGTAATGGTTATGCAACGATAGGCGGTGGCGGCAATCATTTTGGCGGTGGCGTAGCCATTGGTGTCGGTGGCAACAACAATAATGGTAGTTTAAGACGTTATCACTGATATACGCTTAAGGGCGGTTGGTGCGGCACAAGCCGCAGCGCCTACTATGAGAAATACGAATGCGCCTATGAACATCCGGTGGTGGCAAATCGGAACAGCTTCGAGATGTGTACGTTTGTGAGACCATAAGAGAGATGAGGGCAGTTAGATTAGCGTTAGGAACATGAAGGAAAGGTAGTCTGAAGGGAATTTTATAGCTACTACATGGCCTACATTGAAAAAATGGTTGGGTGAGGTCTGGAGCTGGAAAAATAAACACGAGCATAAATTTTAAGGAAACTGTCGACAACCTTTTTGAGATACATTGTGTAAAACAGTTCTGGAGGAACAAACACTGCCATCTAACAAATAAATTGCAAAATCCAAATTTATATTGAAATTACAATAGAGTTAGAGTAGATTTGATACATTATTTCATCCATAAATGTTTAATGAGGCACTTCAAAAATAAAATCTTAGAAACAATGCAGAGCTTGAGATAATTTCTAAAAAGTTGTAAAACAACTGCGAGAACTTGACTCATTGAAAGTCCCACGTGAGCAACAATGCTCCATTATATCTTCATTTTTTTATCAATCACTTCTCCGTTAAGGTCAAGCCAATATTTTCTAAACTAATGAAAAATTTCTAAAAACAACTTTCTAATGTAGAATTTTTAACGGCAAGCGCAGTTCTCAAGAACCGATCATACTTTTCGTTTCACTAATAGAAACACGGACAGTTTATTGAATGAGAGCTGAGCCTGAAATCCTGCACTTATATAATATTATATATTGCACTTATACACTAGATTTTTAACCGAGCATTATAAAGTTTTGTCGTTAACCAACAAATCATACTATTTTCAAAACCATTTCGAATAGCTACTGGATTAAGACGACTTATAGGTTTAGCGCTCAAGTAATCACGGTCGGTATATCAGCTCGACTAGTATACTCAACAAAACTGTTATATATTTGTCATACAATTTCTTGTTGTTTTGTGAAATACTGCTGAGCTGACACTGTTTGGCCAGTTTACAAACCGGTTACCTAGAACCGGCTGTAGTGGGAACGGTATTCAAATTCCTCCATTTTTTCAACTTTCATTTGAAAATTTTAATACGAGACTCAGTTTTAGCTGATTACATTGAACATTAAGAATTTTATATTGAACGAAGAGTCGATCTAGATTAATGAAAGGTTGCAAAAGAAAGGACTCTAAGTTGACATGTTAAGAACAATAGAATAAACTACATATAAAATGAAGGTTTACAAACATATATATTTCAATACAACACTGTAAAACACTGCAAATAGTCTTCTGAATCCCGTTCGCATTGAAATAGCGCGTTCTCTTAGCAGCATAGTGCCTCTGTGCATGACTTTTAAAGATAGGAAAGTCACTACGTAGCAAATTATGGTTCTATCGGGTGCTGATTATCTAAAGCCAAGCGATTTTTTTTGTCAAGCCGGGGCTCATAAAATAACACAAATATATTTCTTATTGTTCGAGCATAATTTTTGTTTTGCATTTCAAACTTGGTAGGGACTATTTCGTGACTTAATATTGACTACTTAAATTGAGATGGGCAAATAACAAGTTATCGAGGAGCAACATCAAATTTCTTGCTTATTACAGATTAGAACCAGACACTAAATACGCTAACTAATAAGGGACTGATCAGTGCTGGCTTTGGCATGTATCGATATATTCGTGTATATTTATATACTTTTAGATAATAATAATTTCTATATATCGCGAGGCACTGTATTTAGTCTTTCCATGAGCTCTCTAATGTCTGCACAAATCCAAACTGTACACAAAGAACCACAGACGTTGTTCACAGCGCAATATCGTTATTATCACCCTCATCGATATCGCATTATTGTATTCACTGGTGTTTTTTTGCACCAAACACAGTAGGCAGCAATTTTCGTGATTGGTTTTCGTATTAAAAACCCGTTAACTTGTAGTTTTTTCCAAAAGCAGCTTTAGTTTGTTAACTATTCTCTATTTAATTGTATATTTATCGGATATTTATATGTATATGTAAAATAGCTTTAAAGCACAATTAAAGCGACTTATCACATAACAACATAATTAGTTAACGCAATGGTTGGCAAGGCAATGCGTCTCCAACAGAGACTCTTATCTATATTTATGCATACATAACATATACTATATTACATATATTTATATAAATATATATATATATATGTGCAGTTTCGTATGTTAGCGCTGTAAATTTACTTGCACACTCGGAAAAATACGTGTATTCAGGCAAAAGCATTTTCTTGTAATATAACTATTTAGCATATATAAATTGTAAATTTTTTTTCGTGCAACTTGTACTAAATAATTATAATTTAATTGGTTTTCATTTGTAAATAAATATAATTATAATGTTAGTCAAAGCGGTTAATTGAACAGCACAAACACCAAACACATGCATACAAATATGGTAGTGTGTGTGTACAATATTAAAAAAGAAATTCATGAAATTGAAAAAAAAGTATGAAAATGGTAAAAATATTGCATACAATAAAATTAATTGCCATAAAAAAATAATTAACGCATTATATGCTACTAAGCTAAGGTAGGAGCCGATAAAGTAATTAAAAATAATAAAAAATTATAAAAACTTTGAATTAAATAAAATATTACTCATTTATTGCGCGCAAATGTAGCGTAAATTACATAATTTGTGCATAAACACATACAAACACACGTTTATTTGTTTGCGCGTGCAAAAAAGACAGAAAAATGTATGAAATGCGACAATTGATTTTCAGTGATCTAAATATTAAGTTTAAAATTAATTATTTGTAAATATAAAAAAAATTAATTACACATATGAATATTGATAATTATACATACATACATATATATGTACATATAAATTTAAAAATATACAAAAAATCAAATTATATTGAGAGTACTATAAAAAATTATTGAAAGCAATCATATATTAAATAAAATGATAATTATTTAAAAAACAAACTTAAAATGTAAAATATCAACAGTAAAACATAAAAACATAAAATAAAAAAAAAATTAAAAAATTAATTAAATTCAATAAAAAAAGAAGTTTTCGCAGCTAGCAAACATTGATATTGCACACACATATTTGCAAATATTCAAAAACAAGCAATAATTGTACGAAATATTATACAAAATAAACTAAGGCAAGAGAGAAAAATGTATGTAAACAAAAGCACTTTACATTAACAATTAATTACAAAACTTAATAAGCAAATATGCAACTGTATTATATTGTACACTTCTCAATGATATTGTCTAACACAACAAAACTTAACGAAAACGACTTAAAACCATTTCGATTTAAATTATTTTTGGCAGCAGCTTAGGCGTTAGTGTCTACAGTCAGCACGATAAATATGCGAACACAAAAAATGTTTAAATTTATAAAATTATAAATTTTGTATGTTTTTTTTTTGTTATAGCATTTTTTTAATTTAGTATTTTACTTAATCCTAATTATGGTTTTCGCCAATTGATAGTATGCTGTATGTATTTATTGCAACTTTTACTCGGAAATAAAACACACAAACACATATACTTATTACAAGAACAAATAGAATTTGTGGTAGTTATTATATTTGTCGTTTGATTTTGGTTTGCGTTTTCAAAATGGTAAGTTAAGTTACTAATTGATTTGTTTGCTAATAGTTTAACTTTTTTTTTTGCTTTGTTTTAAACATTTCCCCACTTATTGAGAACATAACCTCAACACTAGAAAAAAAACTTAAAACTTAAAAGCAACAAATTTAATATGAACTTTTTTTCAAAACGAATTCATTTGACACCTTACCTCATTTATAGTTAACGTCACCTCAAAACTGCTGAACATCACTAGCAACATTCTTATATCGACCGTTTTCCACTGTTTCGAAAATTTCGTTCAAACCTAATCTACACTCTACTAAACATAATCTCAATCCAAGTGAATATAACCTTAACAAAGTTGATGTTAAACAGAACAACATCATAAAAAAAGTCTGGCTACTTTACAAATTTCAACGTGATTTTTTTTTTTTCAAATAATAAAAAAAAGTCAGTAATTTAAACTTAATTTTAACTAGGTGACATCTTTAATAATAATTATGTCATAACCTTTCTGCCGAACCTTTCAATATTAAATTAGAAGCCCAAAAATCATTACTTATCCGCTAGATAAGAATAATCAAAAAAATTCTGGCATCACAGTGTGTAATTAATGGCATGTCTGTCTCAATCGCTCCGGCAGTCAATCATCCGGCAGGTTCTTAAACAGCATTTAAGTCTATTTTCTATGCTATATTCGAATTCTTAATTACAAATTAAGGACTCCATTGGTAATGAATGCTACTTAATAACCCTCGAATTGATCAGCTGAAGGAATTTCAACTATATATCTCGCTAATTGCAATAAAAGCGCGATTTAATTGACAAGAAAATTTCAACAAATATATTTAAAAACTAAAAAATCGCTTCAAGGTTACATCATTACAAATTATATTTAAACGAAAGTTTTTATTAAACAAAAATCAAACCTTAGGCAGGCACGAAATAGTAATAATTTGAGCTAAATTGAGTGCTTCGAATATCTCATCGCTTGAGTGCCTGCGTTAGTGAACGAGTTGAAGTTGACATTTGATTAGAATAAGACGTAGGACAAAGACACTCTCAAGGGAGGAAATAATCAGAAAAATTCAAATTCGTAGTCTATTGACAAGAAAATTGAAACAATGACTTTAATTTCTCTAAAATATTACAATAAATATTGTTGGCTTATCCTTTGCAAGGTGAATTTTTATTAGTTGAAAGCGGACATAATCAACTCCTTTCATCAGCTTCCGTAAGTGTTGCGGGCGGAATCGGATTGTTTACTATAAACATGTTGAATAACTAGCATATTATAATTACACCGGTTTACGGTCATTTTGCGACTGTGTGGTTAGAGGCTGTTTCTTGCTAATTTTGGGTTGCTAAGACCGAAAATTATAGTAAAAATTTCTTAACACGTAGAAGTTTTTTTGTTGTAGTCAAGTGGTGTAAGGGTCAAACTACCAACATTTAATAAATTAACAAAATTAGATGTACGTGATGGAACATTTTTGAACTCAAATTCGTAATCAGGACATCGAAAATACTCCCAAAAACCTTTTAGCACATCAGTCGCAAATTTTTGCATCAGATTTGTTGAGTAGTGTTATTGTTACCATTAGATAGAAGTCTTCACAAAAACAACACACTTAATTTTGCTTGTGTAACAACTCAATTTACAATTTAACTGTTCCGGTTAATTGACAGAAGTTTCCGAAAAATTTGCAAAACCTCAACGCTTCTTTGATTTGTATGAATAGCAAACTTGGTTACTCAATTTACAACTTAAATGTCTCGGCTAATTGAGTCTTTTGAATTTAAAATTTTATTATTTGGAAATTATACTATGCTGAAAGCGTTTGTGTGAAATGATCGGCTCTGCAACAAATATCTATGAGTACTAGCGATCTCTACAGGTTCTGCCACAATCTCTGGTACTTAAAGTAGATTTTGTTAAAACAAATGTTCTAATAGGTTGGCGTTTTAGTTGATATGCCTGCATAACTACGAATATTGGGATATTTATTGATTAATTTCGAGTTGCCTACTGTAAACCTTAAACGGTAACGAATAATCTGGAAGACTTAGAGAGCGCGTATATTTGTATGTCATATTTATCTTCATCGGGTAGAAATAGCGCTATATATATTTATGGTGTTTTCGGCTAATGAATTCGATGCCTATAATAATATATAATAAATAAAAATGCTAATACAATTCTGAGCGATTCGTTCAACTCTGCAGCCAAAAATCCGCTTTTATCTAAAAAGTTACAAACATATTAAAATTTTCGGAATAATTAAATGTTAATGCTCTGGTTTCTGAAAATCACTAAAACGTTTTAGGCGTCATAAATCAATAAAATGCCAGTGTAGACACACATGAATATAATAATATATTGTATGTTTGTCAGCATTTAAATTTTTGTATAATGGAAAATGGCTTCGGGGAAAGCAAAGTTGTTCGCAAAATTTTCCAGCAAGTTAATTTAAATAATTTTTCGGCGCAGATAATCATGTTTATGCATCAAATGGAAATTTTTATTCGAGAGCAAATAAATTTTTAAAATGGAACTGATATGTGTGCAAAATACGAGTACATACATACTTATAGCTAAACACATGTGACTGGTGGGAGTTTGCCAAATTATTGTGTGAACTAATATGATGCCAAAATTTTAAAATCACAATAAATTTTGTTAGAAGCGCGAATATTATTTTTGGAAAAAATTTAAAATTTGACTAAAAACCATTATTTATACGCTTTCATACATTTATGTATTTTTATGCATTTCTAACTCGTCAGCGCATTAAAATGCAAATTTAAAAAAAAAAATTAAAATATATATAATTAAACATTTTTTTTTGGTTTGCGCTAGCTTTTGTTATCTGATTGCCACACTTTTCTCATTCAAATTATAATTTGCTGTTAGTGGTTATTGTTTTTGTAAAAGCATCTAAAATGCTGCATAAATTTATGTTTATTATATGCGTATGATATATAGAATCTATTAAAAAGAAAGCATAGAATTTCGTTTAAAATTATAGCGCTGAATGAGAAAAGGTAATTCAACAACAACTAATTTGGATTTAGATTTATTCATTTATATATTTGCAAATTTTGATTACCAGGAAATAATAACACATTGGTCGGTGAAAAAATTTTACAAAACATATGTACATATATTAAGACTCCAATTCACTGATAAAATTTATTTGTTTACCATTTAGTTTTAGTAATATATTTGATATCCTTCTAAAATTGAAATTGTATATTAAGTATTTATAGCAATAATATAAGCTTATTTGTGAAAATTTTAGTTTTCCACAAAATAATTAATTTTAATTTAAGATAAGAAATTTTTTGTGGACTAGAAATTTTGGAAAAGTTTCTAATATAAATTTTAGTTTTAGAATTTTTCTAAAAATTTCTTATCTATATTTAAATTTTAGAATTTTCTAAAAATTTTGAATTAAAAATTTAATTTAATTTATTTTTTTGCAAAGTTTTATAAAGATGCTTATATTATTGCTGTAAATAATAAAGAATTTAAGTTTTTTATTACAATAACCTACGACATTGTCAAACTACACTGATAGACTTAACTACCTAAACTAGATTTAGGCTCCTAAATCTAATGGAGCAAGAAACGATTACTACATCCATTGGTTTATAATGAGAGTAGCTCACGGAGTATCGATTATCAAGTTAACATAGTTGGGGTTGACAATTGTTGATAACAATAATCAACGCAGTCGAGAGCAATCTCTAGAACTGTGCTCAAAAATTGCGTTTTCCATTATATTCTGGTACTATGTTTGGTATGGCGTTGTAATGTTAAAGTATAGCGACTTTCCATTTAAGAGCTTATTAAACTGATAATGTCAAACACTAGTGGTGCGCTTAAGTGAGTTTACCGACATAGCGTTGTCGGTTACTCAGTTTACTTGCACAAGTAATCGTCTAAACATATTAAGTCTCAGTATGAAAGGATCTCTACAACAATTTTTGAGTGAGTAGAATCTGGAGACACTGCTTTTGTTATAGCAATGGTCTTCGTAATACCAGTTCAATTATTGAAACGAATTATTGTTTTTTATACAGCAGCATTTTATTTCGTTACTGTTACTCAATACTACCAATTATTTATTGGAAACCACGGCTTCTTGAATGAGTTGATAAAATTTTTTAAAAATTCTTACTAAATCTCATCATTATTGGACTAATTACCTGGCAACTAAGTGTAAATTGAACTCAACTAGCTAAGGCAATTATGTGGTTAATACATATTTAAATTATTGTTCCCTATGAGACCCTTTTTGTGAGAAAAATTATAACTCACTTAAAATATTATTCTTTACTTCAAAATAGAAGCTTCAGCTTTTAGCTTAACACTAAAGAAGATTATAATTTGGAATACGTTTTCGTATTGAATTTTATTTAAAATTTTGTTTGGGTAATCCTCTAAAATAATTGTGTAACAGGTTGTATTAAATTTTGCGCGCAGTTTGTAATACCCAGAAGAAAACGTCGGAGATTGTATAAAATATATTTATACATATGTATATGTGATTAGCGTGACGAACTGAGTTGATTTAGCCATGTCCGTCTGTCTGTATATATGCGAATTAGTTTTTCAGTTCTTGATATATCGCTGTGAAATTTTGAACACGTCTATTTCTTACAAGAACCTGCTCAATTGTCGAAAGTCAGTGATGATTGTTGAAGGTAACTCAAAATATCTCAAAAAATCAAAAAAATTTTCCATATCGGACTTCCTTGGCTATATATGCCATTAAAAGTGAACGATCAAAACAAAGTTCTTATAAGGAAAACGTTTTTATTCACGAAATTTGGTAGGGACTATAGTCCAAGGCAACGCTAGAATATAATTTTCTGTTCCAGGTCATAAGTGCGGCGACGTAACAAATATTCATAAATTTTAATTTATTTTTAGAAAACTCTCTTAGAGTATTGTGGTTTGTAAATTTTAGTCAATGTTATTTCAAAAATATATTTTTGATAATATTTCTAAATTAATTCCATAAAAAATCTATTATTTTTGTTTGTTTTTTTACACGAGTCATTTAAATAAAATATATATTGTCTATTATTATATTTTCCTTGGCAAAGTCTTCTAATAATGTCAAGAATAATCAAAACTTCTTATTATTCAAATCACTCTACAAGTTAACATGCTAAACTATTTTTATAATACAAAAACAAAATGTATGTCTTTAAAGTCGTTACATTCTGCATTCGAAACTCTTCAACAAAAACTTAGAATACACATATGCTCGTAAAGAATTCCAAAATATTTATAAATGTGACTAAGAAATTGTAAATGTTTACTCAATTAACATATGAATACTTAAAAATTTCAAATAATTATACGAAATATAAGGAAAATGCAACAAAAAAGAACAAATAATAACAAATAAAAACCAATACAAGGGAGTTTATATACTAAATAAAAGTAAATGTTACAAATCAGTGAAGAACTAAACCGAAATTAAGTCATTATGCATTTAAGCTATTACGCTATTAAGTATTTAAGGATACACACATGCATACATGCATAAGCGTAGTTAAGCGTAATTCTTTAAAAAATATACAATAACTGTAAGCAAATTACAACAGACAAGGGAGTTATCAAACAAAAATACATAGACGTAAGCATAAAAATATAAATTGTAACGTCAAAGCAGCACAAGGGAATATTGAGAACAAAAACAAAAACAAGTAAGAAATATTGTAGTAATGATAGTGAGCAAGAGAATATTAAATAAGAAAGTTATTGCAATATGAATGAAGGCAACAATAGAAATGCTAAGAAAGGAAGAGACAAAAAACCAAATGACATACAGCACAGTTATCAAAAGAGAATCAACAACTTAACGCATAAATAAATAATTGAATAAATGACAGTTGAGGAAATTGCTAAACATATAGCATGCCATTGAAATCCACAATAACGTTAGATGACAAATGAACGAGTATGCGTATAATTGCCGAGTAAAGGCAAAACTTTTCGAATTTGAAATAATAAGCTGGAAAAAAACCATAAAATAACAATAAGACGCCCAGAGAACTCTTTAACTTTAGTTTTGAAATTGACGCCCAAAAGTAGGCTAAGCCAATACCAAGAAGGATGTATGCAAAGTGGGCAGTAACTGATATGGAATGGCGCTTAGTCTACATTTGAGCGCATAGCAGTGTTTCAAATATAAATAATGGTGTGAAAAAATAAGAAAATGCGCGCATTGAACTATTTTATTAACAAAACAGTAAAGAAGACAACATGAATCGAACATCATCACACCAAGCAGTACTAAACTCAAGATATTTATATAAAAAATATTAAAACACAATTATCGCTCAACTAATTTGCAACTTACTACAACCACAAACAAACCACATTTTCACAGAAATACCCTTAAAAAAAGCCTCGAAAAATCGAAAGCAAAGTTTGAGCGCAAAAGAGAACTACTTTGCTTTAATAAAATTTTTTGATTTTCCAAACGCTAAAATTATTTAAAGGTTTTCGTATTTTACGTCTAAAGAGTAAAGACACTTCCACAACCTCCTTTGCTAATTATTTTCATATGAATATCAAAGTTTTAAGCATTTTTCAAATCACTACCTTCAAGTTCTCAGTTTGACTGTTTGAGTTCTTTCATACATAATACACACCCTTTATACATACATAGCCATATACTAGGTAATAATTTGCAAGTTTATATAATATAAATTAAGTATAAAATAAAATACAAATGGGTATAGTTAACCAAAACTTACGATAAACAAGGAAACAAGGAAATAGTGTAGTAATTTAGTAAAATATTTTAAATAAAGAACATTTAAATGATCTGAAATATCAAAGTTATATGTGTTTTTATTCCACCAATAAAAATAATACAAAATGGATGTGAGAAATATGTGATATGGTTGTCCGCTCTAACCGATTGCGACAAATTATCAATAGAATATCAAATACACCTACAAGTATGTATTAAATATCGTTCGGATATTTCGAAATCTGACAGAGACAGTTTTATAATCTCTAAAATGTATGGTATGGCCACTGCAGAAATTTTAAAAAATAGTTAAATTTATTTGTAGCGAGAAAAATCTTTTCAAACGACTTTAACCGTATATAGCCCATCTCCGGCTTAGCTAGAGTTATATGTGAAACTTTGAATGCATTTTTATCAAAACTACTCTTTTCTAATTGGCAAGACAAATAACTTTGACAATTTGTATTCGAACGACTTCAAATTTGGAGACTATCTTTAGAATTGGAGTTTGCCTAGAAGTACGTTCGCAAATTTTGATTAATTCAACACTTTTTTCTATGGCTAATTTATTACAAAATTATTGACTAGAAATTCAATTTTTCTGTTCAAATGCCCATAACTTTTGAAGAAATCAGTGTTTTAAAAATTCCTTACTACCTCTATGGGTATTGTCATGTAGATTAACAACGATTCTCATTTTTGTACAGGAAGACAATTATGGATGCTGAATGTCTCGCCGCGGCAGCTTCAAAAAAATAAAAATAAAACGATCAAAGAAACATTACACGATTCGTTTATTACAGTCAATAAAATTAAGCGAGGAATATATTTTTAATCAGCTTGAGGTTCAAACTTAATTAGAGTTTCATTAGTTTTGTGAATAAATGATTATATTACGAAAAAATAAATAATGAATCTTCGCATAATTTATACCCGCTACGCTCCCTCGAAACCGGTTTTAGACCCACATTGCCTTGGGCAAAGTTACTCAGAATGATCTGTAGAATATTTCCTATATATGCTATTTTTCGGTTTTTTTAACCCGCCCTAGTATACATAATTATTTAAGCTTGTTTAATGCAAATATGCCTCTTCGATCCAATGTGTGTGCTATATTGAAGATATCGAAATTGTCAGGCATTGTAATATAGTCTTTCAATTTCAATCACAGAAAGACTTCAAGTCACATGATTAGATAATAAGGAGGATTAATTCTGTAAGTTGATATGGTTTTGAACCAGAGTAAAAATATAATTGCGTAACTCGGTGAATTGTTAATTAATTTCGTCTGTATTTGGCTTTGTTTTAAGAGAAACATTCGAGATAAAAATAAATACGTTGATAAAAGTTACTTCAAAAGTTATCAGTTACTTCAAAAGTGGGTCAATGGCATCTATTCCTCGAATTCAATGCCCAATATGATGAGTCAAGACACACGACACTTTCACATATACACTCACTTAATTGCTTTAACTAACTTTGGAGAACATGGTATAAATAAATATCAAAGGCGATTGTTTCTTAAGCGAGTTTCAGAGCATAACTCTGTAAATAGAATTGTATCATGTGAAGCACTCGATCTGTAGCGCAACCAGTTCGGCAGTGAAGTTATCGACTGGCTTGGCCACATGAAAAGAGTTATCAAAGAGTAGTTATTAACTTTGATAAACCTCTTTTTTTTTGATGATTAATAACTTGCATATGATCTTAAAAATATTGAGTTACATAGCTCCAGAGCCGTCACAAGGTACCTAGAAAACTAACAAGACAGCTACTGGAATATAATCGTGCTCTATAAATAATGGAAATAATGCTTTTTAAATAAGCCAAGCCTATTTTCGAATGCTTAAGAGAACAACACTAAATAGACCATCTCATATCAAAACTAGTCGACATTGTTATTACACGCTCTTTTCAATTACCAGCGACCATTTCAAGCATATCAATTGTAAATTTTTCGCTGTGCTAAACATTTTGCCACTCTCCCTTAGTAATTGAATGTTTTTTCACCTACACAACGCATATTTCTAAATAGCTGATTTGATTGTTTATGCTGTCATTGTTGTTGTTACCGAGCAAGATAAAGCTGACGCGTTAATGAAAATTGTCTTCTTTTGCATTATTGAAAAATTAAAATTTAACGCAACCGCATCAGAAAATTAACATATAAATTAGTTCAAATGATGTACGGCTAACGAGTTACGAATAACAGTAAACAACAGCGCGTGTGATAGCAAAAAAGCAACAAATAATGACAAAAATTAATAAAGAGAACTAGCGTAGCAACAAATAGCAAACAACAAACACATATAATGTATATGTACATTCATATAGAAGAAATAGGGACAAGGACTGAAAACGTCATAATTGACGAAATTTTGTATAAATTTCTACCGTAAAATTCGTACTCGTAACATAAAAGGGACAATTTTAATCAGGGTTTGTTGCTCGTTTTGATGTTATGTTGCTAACAGTTTGTCGGTTGCTTGAATAGGAGCTTTACGCAAAGCACAGTGTTACAGTATTAGAGATTCATAGAAAAATGTTTAGGCAGAACTACAGCTTTTAGTGTGAATACGTTAAAGGCTTAGTTATGGAAAAAAAGCGAAAAAGGAAAAGACTTTTACAATTGAAAGCAAATACTCGAACAAACCTAGCCAAGCCTTTTAAAAATGCTATAAAAAAACTTAGGGATATATATATGATACTATAAAGTCTGAATAGATACTCGACTTATGAAATCTTTTGATGTTTGATGTAGGTATAATTGGGGAATTTTTATATATCTCGTACATTGTAGGCTAACCTAACCTCAAAAACGCTTTACAATGCCATAAATGGCGGCCCGATTATTAAAAAAAAAAACCAGAAATATTTTCCAAATAGTTATAAAAAATACGTATATATTATAATATGTTTTAACGCCTATACCAACCTAAATTCCAATATCAACTTAAGCAAAATTTGCTAGAAAATGCAATACAAAGATATATTTTCTTATAATTATTTTATAATTAAATTCTCACACATGAAATAGGTATAATTTTTATCTCTAATCGCATATCTCATAGGAACCTAACTCTACTTAAAATATGATTAAGATGCACAAGGGTAAATCTATGAAGAGGAAGTTTGAATAAGTTATTTATTATATTTTCACATATACAACGTTTACCAATAGCGCTGATGCGACTTTGACAGCTCGTGACGGCCATGATTGCTTGCAGATTTGTGTCAAATTTTGTCAGTATGTGCAGTAAGGTTTGCCATTTCACCAAGTCATGTTTCACTTTGTACAACGCTTGAAAATTGTACAAGCCGTAACCATGAGTAGCGTGTGTTATAACACGACACATTGCTAGCAAAGTTTGGCGACTCGTAAATTTCGAAAAGTCAAACAGCTGTCAAGATCATGCGGTTTAACGTCTCTAGATTATTTTCACCGGCGGTACTATGTTAAATCAAAGGTTTACGCCAATCAACCAGCAACGCTCGAGGAACTCCAAGACACAACATCCAGCGCACTATAACCGAAATTCCCGCCGAAGTGATGCACCGGGTCATCGGAAATTGTCGTAAACGGATGGGAAAATGTCCGTTGTGGCCATTTGACAGACATTTTGTTCAAACCATAAATGGCATAAAATTATCTGCATGCCAAAAAAAAAAAAAACAGGACGTAGTTTGACCAAATTTGAGTGTTTTATTTTATTTTATTATTGTTATTGTTGACAGACCCAGTATTCGCCCTATATTTAACCGCTACCTCCCATTCGTACTTAACCTCAAAACTATCTATAGAATTAACTCTTAATTTATAAAGTGACAAACTTAGATTTAGACGTATAAAATAATATTTTTACAAGAACATACAAAAAATGGGAGTAACGTTTATTCCTGTCCTAAGCACTTAGTCTTAAAATCTTCAAAGAAGTCATATCGACAGAAGTACAATAGTATAAGGAAATGCGTTCGTCAAAGCAAGTAAATTATTGTAAATACTTAAACACCATATCCAATTTTAACGTCTACATTCCAGGTGAACCTAACCTAAAAAACATTCAATAGCACAAAATACAATTGCAGAACATGTCAACACAGAAAGAATTTATCAAATTCACTCTGAAATTTCAAAATTTTGCAACCTTCGGCATTTTAATTTATCAAAGAATTAATATCGTTAATTTTTTGTGTTTTACCTTGAAAGAATGTTTTTTGTATAACTTAAAACTAACCTATATTTTGAGTCGGGATTGGTTTGTAATTTGCAAACATACATGACACTTATTTATAGAAATTACTTCATATATTGATTTTTAAATTAAAACGGGTATTTAAATCTTAATTTACTAAATTAATGAACTGACCACACTATTATCTATAAATGAAATGCACTAATTGTCTCAATTAAGTTATAATATATTTGCATATAATAAGAGTCACATTACATTCAAAAAATCCCACTGTGTTCTATTTGATTTTGCCAGTTGTATGTATTTTTTGCATCGCATCCCCTATTCTTGGTATAAATTAAGCAATTAGTTGCGTTGTATAGCGTCATCAACTTTCTAATCCTTTTGAATTTTTCGCGAGTTTGTCAATTTATTAAGAACTAACAAGTGGCAGGTCCATGGTATTTCTGTGAATACCTTCAAAATAAAAAAGCAACAACAAAATGAAACGGGTTAGTAAAGTACGCGTATTACAATATATCACAGCCTATTAGCGCTAGGTCACAACGTACCCAAAGAGACTTAATTCTTAAAGCTCTGAGTAAAATATGCCTAAAAGATAGCTGAATAATTAATTGTTAATTGGTTGCTTGTAAAACTGTTACCAGGACAATGTTTACTTATCGCCGTCAAATATTTTCAATTATTAATAGCCATTTTATGGCTCTGAGTAGTTGTTGTCATTTGACTTTGCAACAACAAATAATTAGTTACATTAATTGAAGTGACAATTTTCATTTTAATTAATTTGATTTATGTTACCACTTCGTTTCATTTGAGCGCTAAAAGTCTAGTAGTAAGTATAAATATATAAACATATTTTCTTAGGAAGAGTTAACAAAAATA